AGATAGATAGATAGATAGATAGATAGATAGATAGATAGATAGATAGATAGATAGATAGACAGACAGACAGACAGACAGACAGACAGACAAACTTTATTGTCATTTTTGTCACTTTTTACTGCAAGCACACTGGCCCACATTAAAAATGAAATTCTTAATGTTGCCTGCTCTCAAGAGAAAGTGTGTATCTACTCAAACACATACATATACACATGCTATATACATACATACGTTTATACCTGCACAATACTTACATATAGACACATCACTGTCTATTTTGAATACGTAGCGAAAGACGAAACTTGAGAGTTCACAAGTTTAATGCTATATGGAAAAATACTGTGACTGAATGTAGAAGTTCTGTTTTGTCACCTACTTATGGGAAGAAGTATAAAAGTCTCTGGGAAACTCCCTTAAAGTCCTGAACCTGCTGAAGAAACACCTATCATGCTGTAATAGTAGGAGGCAGTGACACTGAAGGAAAAGTGTCACCTGGGCAATGTTCTGATAAACAAAACCTGAGTCTAAAAGAGGGGTAGGACTGGAGAAAATATCTCAGAAGGGATCCTCCTTCATTTTCTGGAAAATAAACATAAGAGGTACTTTCAGACTTGCAAAACTTTGTTACTGAAATCTTATAACAAGTGCTTTACTAATCACAGCTGACATCTGTCTGTCAGCCAGTATTGCAGATGAAAAGTTCTGCAGCAGAATGTGTGATTCGAATGCATCTGAAGAGCTGCTGTGGCGCAGTGGTTACAGTACAGTACTGCAGGCTACTTCTGCTGGCTGCCAGCTGACTGCAATTTGGCAGTTCGAATCTCACAAGGCTCAGGTTGACTCATGTTGACTCAGCCTTCTATCCTTCCAAGGTGGGTAAAATGAGGAGCCAAATTGTTGGGGACAATATGCTAACTCTGAAAACAGCTTAGACAGGCTGTATAAAGTGGTATAAAGTCTAAGTGCTAAGTGCTATTGTTATCTCCCTAGGACCTGACGTGGTGGAGCAGCTGGCGTTCTTGAAAGTAAATCTCAACTCCTGCAGAATCCCAGGATAAACCTGGAAACAGAATGAATACCATCCTTACTTTGTTATATGCTGTTGCTATGTTTTTTCATGTTTATATGTTCTTATTTGGATTGCTTTGCATCTGCTCAGAGCAAGTAATCCCACTCCAGTCAGCAGTATCCACAGCACTGACTGAATGAGGCATGCAATCATGTCTTCATACAAATTTCACCATTATTATTAGCATTCTGAGTTCTTGTACAAAGATGTAAGTCACATCACTTAACATAACATCATGAACAGAGTGTTCCCCTGCTCCTTCTTGCAAAGGGTAACATTTAGAACAGATGTCTTGTAATTTTAACCTTTTTTCTAGACCACACAATTTGATTTAGATATCATCAAACCATCTCCCAATCGTCAAAATTTATTAACTGGGGAAAGCGGTCTTGCCCATGAAAGTTCATTGCTGGGAGTATCACAGGTGAGGAGATTGTGAATTAATTCCTTTGCTGGACAGTCTTGGTTAGCATTTTGAAAAATAGATGTTTAGTTTGCTTGGCTGTGGATGTAAAACCCTCATACTCAGTAGTGCTTCCTTATTGGGTTCTGAATGTTTGGTTGGATATGAAGGAAATTATGCTTCAAAAGTTCCAATCTGAAGAAGTTTAAAGTTTGCACCAGGTTGGTTTTGCTTGCCAATCTTCCTTTATCTTCATTTCTCATGAAAAAGTCCATATGTCAGGGTTCCAAGTAACACCCCCAAATGAAAGAAGGCTTGAATTTCCCCAAAGTTCCCTTTTATTGGAGTTGTCACATTGGCACATCTGGGAAAACCCGAATCTGAAAGTTTCCAGGTTTTCTCCACCCAAACCACAGTTCAAGCCCCTGCCCATCACCCACATGTCCATCACATGATCCAATCAAGCACCGTCCCAACTGCAGATGCCTCCTAGTCACACCACTCCAGGTGCAGGACAAGCTGTCCTTGACTCACAGAGAAAGGAATGTTATTTTGATATATTTATCCCACTCCATACAATCTCCCCTCCTAGTTTCCCACAGCAATAAATGTGGCAGGCCTGAAGGCCTAATGCAAAAGATGGCTTCCAGGCCTGATACCATATTTAATTAAATGTCTTTTTTTTTGTGCTTGACACAAGGTTTGGTACTTTTTCTTGTCTCTCACCAAATTTAAAATCATGGACATAAATGAAACTTATGTTTGTGGACAACTCTGCTTGGGACTTTTCCTTTGTAGTAGCTTTCCAATTCAAATTCCAGATTTTTTTTTCTTGCTGTGACAGCTTGCTAGCTGCATTTAACTTCAGTTCGAGAGTGGGAGAAGTTAATTTTTTTTGTGCCATCCCTCTTAGCCCAAACCAAGTTCACTGGCAGTTAGCAGAAAAAGTTTCTGCATTTCTCTTTCGGTTATTTGGCACATTTTTCAATCACAAGACACATCTGCAATGTCGGCTGTTTTCAGATAAATAGATTTATTTATCTCCAAACCATAAAAAGTTCCTTCATGCAAAATTCTCAGAACCAATTCACCAGAAATGTGACAGAATAGCCATAAAAAAGAGAGCAAGCATGCAAATCATTCTGTCCCAAATTTATAAAAGTTAATTATTACATCCACCCTTAAAGGAGGACATTACCCAGCTGCATATTTACATTTCAGAAGATCCTCTGCTTTATTCTCTTAGATTGGCTTCCAAATTTTATTCAACTCTATTAAGAAATAAAAACAAAAAGAAATTAATTGAAAGCACAGTTCTTTGTGGATTTCCCATGACAAAGGGAAGTTCAGAAGGGAATTGTCTTTTTTGTGCTAATAAATTTAAAAAATATTTTTGTGTTCAGACGATAATGCCAAAATCAAAAGTTGTATGCCGTATGCGTAGAAAAGTAAGTATTCAGCTTATGTGATAATGGTTTACACACACCAAATTTCTGAGGCATTCCAAAGTATGGGGAACAATTTTACAATAATTATTTCTAGCAATAGCCATTGAAAAACAAAAAGCCATGAATAGCCAAATAAGAGCAATAGATACCTTGAGATGCAAAGGTGGGATTCTTGAATTCAGATGCATTTTAATTAATGTTTTCAGGCCCTTTCTAGAAGGTTAAGATATTCATACTATCTCTGTAGAGAAATGAGGAGAGAGGAATGGAAAGGAAAGAGTCCAAGTAATCTGCAGGCAATCTTTGATTTACAACCACAGTTGGGACTGGAACTTGATAATGTGGTTGTTAAATGAGCCATTCTCAGTTTTACAGGTTTTTTTTGCCACAGTGATTAAGGTAATCTTCATGGTTGTTAAGCAAATCATGCAATAGTTAAGACAATCCGGTTCCCCCCATTGACTTTGCTTACTGGAAGCCCTCTCCCTCCCTCCCTCCCTCCCCCCAAATACTGTGGGGATAAGACACCCCTAACACCCCTTGGGGTGTGTGTTCTGTTAAGATACAGCCTGTTGTGCCTTAAAATGGTTTCTACCGTACTGCCTTAAATTGGCTTTTACTATACAATGCTGTGGAATTGTCATGGTAATGGCTTCAAATACTACACAAGGGGGCTCCCACTGGTAAGGGGGAAAATCCAAAATTAGAAATTGCGGCAACATTCATGGAAGCAGGGTTGGGATAAATAAACACCTGTGCAATGCCAGGTTATCAGGTAGTTCCACTATAAAGAACAGAGTGATCCTCATTTACCTCTATTGGTTCTACAGAGGTGGGATCTCCCAGAGAGACTAATATTAATGATTCAGTTCAAATTTGTGAAGATAATGGAAGTTGTCTAAGAGTACTAGTGTTGGATCATACCAACTGTAGGGAAAAGCACCAAAAAACCCACAAACATTTTCAAAGGGTTGTGCAAAAAACAAAAAAAACAGAAGGATGTGTAGTCATCTTGACAAGTCTCCTACTTGTTTATTAAATCTCCCTTGGATTGTTGGGAACCCCCACCAACCAATCTAAGAGAATCTGTCAGGAGATAGGGTAGCAGACAATTAATTACGCAAGTTTTGGTCTGAAAATCCCAAACCAGTATTTCCAATAGAAAATCCATTTTAATTTTTGAAGTGTCAGTCTACAAATAATAAAATTATGTTTCCTGTCTCACACTAAAGCAGAGATTCAACAGATTGTGATTCAGATTTTTTTTATTGTCTTAGCCAGAATGTCATGGCAACTACAATTAAAAAACAAAAACACAAGACCCTATCTAACTAAATAAAAAGAAGAGTGTAACATAATGCAAGACATTGACCAATAATGCAGCTACACATTAACAAGCACCAAATTCAAATCTTCATAAGCAAATATACTTTTTGTCCAAAATTTTGTTCGCGTTGGGCAACGTATCTAACAAAACTTATCATGCAATATCAGGATCTGATCTATCAAGGAAATGATTTATAGTGGAAATTACATTCCCAAAAATGCACTTCATAATAGTAAATTAAGCTATTCATCTTCTCTCATTGAATCTGGCAGGCAGGAAAGAATGATAATGCAGTGCAAGGCTGGTGATGCAGCTGGATTTGCAGATATATTGCAGAGAGTAGTCTAAGAAATGGTTGCTTATCTGATGCCTCCTTGAGTATACATTATAATTGGGATGAACTGAAGGACTTCCAATAACTTGTATCAGACATTTCATTACCCATCTAAGTAACAACATCAATGTAATAACATCAGTGCTAGGACCTTAGCACGGATAATCCTACCTACTAGATAATGAAATGCCTGCAGGAATGAACAAAACTCAATAAGCACCAAGGACCCCATAGTTCAAACCTGCACCATAGTTTTCTACTGGAACCTTATGACTACTGTAACACATTGAACTTTCAGTCCTATGAGATGTTTTTCAGAAGTCTGATGGGCCGATGTGTTTAAGTAGCCATGAGACCATAATATTTGACCAACTAATGTCAGCTCCAGGGAAAACAACGGTATATAGTCTTTCTTCATAATGCTCCTTGTAGCATTATGCATTGGTGGTGAACAATCACTATGAATTATAGCCTCCATTTGTCTGTTAAGACTGTTAAGACTCAGGGCACTACTTGTACGCTCCAAAAATTTACATGTTAGATAGGCCACTTAAACAAATGTTGCACTGCAAATTATGCCCAAGAGAAGTTAGATGTTAATCATGCTTATGACTGGATTAGATGTCACTTTACATTATGGGAAAAATATTCTCGCTGATAGAACACAGGCTTTCCCTTTCTAAATCTATTGCAATTCTCTATAAAAGATATGAAGTTAGCAATAGCAATAGCAATAGCAGTTAGACTTATATACCGCTTCATAGGGCTTTCAGCCCTCTGTAAGCTGTTTACAGAGTCAGCATATCGCCCCCACAGTCTGTGTCCTCATTTCACCCACCTCGGAAGGATGGAAGGCTGAGTCAACCTTGAGCCGGTGAGATTAGAACCTCTGAGCTGCAGATAACAGTCAGCTGAAGTGGCCTCAGTACTGCACCCTAACCACTGCAGGATTGGAAAAGAGATCTTGATTGGCAGCTGTCAAATGGGCAACAGCCTGGGAGTGGGGAATGAATGAGAGGGTCAACTTAATGTACCAAAGATCCTAATATCTTAATTGTGTGTATGGAATATTAAGTGATAGCTTCAGATACATGGTGCACATTTGGATTCAGCATCCCTGTTTGGTAAAGTTAAAAATCTACAGTATGTATAAGCCAAGAGAATTGTTAAATTCCCAGTTTAACCGATAGTGTTGAGTTAGTTCTTGAGGTCAGCCAAATCTGGAAAGTTATTGCTCCAATTCTTCCTTGTATTAGTGAACTTGCTTAAAGAATAGGTTAAAAACTAGTCTCCCCTCCTGCCCCGCCTACTTTAAAAGATCTCTAATGAGAATTCTTCACTGGTGCATTCACATCCATCCATTTTATGAGCTAATAAATAATATTGCTTTTATCTTCTGCTTTTTAAAAAAAGAAAATATTTTTGCTTGTCATTCTGAGACCAATTGTAGATTATTTCATAGGAATTGTAAATTTCAGTTTTTGTAGTACTATGACCAACATTGAAACTTGTTGCACTTGGTAGAAATCAAGCATGGGTCAACAGGGGAAGAAGCAAGCAATGAGCTCATATACTCTGAGAAAAGCTATGTATAAAGAGAGGCCGGAAGCTGATTTAGCTGCCAGTTGGACTGCATCCAATCTGAAAAAAAAACCAACACATTTCAACCCACAATGTTGATAGAAACCTACAGTGAACGCATGATTTATGGCTTTAGGGTTCTACCATGCTGAGAATTTTGATATTCTCAAGGGCTTGTCCATGTTCAGACACTTAGCTCAAAAGAGGAATTATCTTCTTTCTTCACAAATATTCATATTCATCAAAGGAATATACAGAAATAAATCAGGGGTATGCAACTATTTATTTATCAAGGGCCACAATCCCTCAAGAATAATTTGATGGGGAGATTATTCAGTAGCAATGAACTTTGGGGTGCTGGATATTTATTATCTTGCTACACCTTCTGAACCCTTTTATTTCTATTCCTTGCTGTTGGGGGAACACAGAAATAATTATTAATGAAATGATCTTATGTATATGGAGATTCTTTATGTTGTCAGAAGCTGTTCTGTTTTATTTCATATATTTTTAAGCTACTCAGAGTCATTGTGCTTGGATGTCCCCTGAAATATATAATCAAGTACAGGTCATATAAATAAGGGGTTGAACTGGGGAAGACAATGAAACATTTATGAAACCCATCTAGAGATCTGCTTTTTATATGTAGCATTACAAACAATTTAAAAAATCTTTTACATGAATTAGAGTTGGTAGATCCAATGGGCCAAATAGGCCAGTTACCATCTTTCTCTAAATTTTATTCATTTGAAATATTCTGAATGTTAAATAGTTATGTGTGTGTGGGGGGGGATTTACCCACAAATAAACCA